GACTTTAAAATATTTTCAAGGCAAGGTCTTAATAAATTTAAAACGAAAGAAGTCTATATTGGTGCCGTGTTAATATCAAAATTAATAGGAAAAGTTTTTAAGGTGAGATTTTATTGTTAAGAAATGAGGACTATTTCCTGGTTTCAAAGGACAAAAATAAATGCAAAATCATTAAAAAATAAAAATGTTGATTTTACATAATCTTGCATCGAACCAGACTGGTTATACCACAGCTTTTAAATAGGTGTTATGAAATGTTTTGACGATGAATATTTGGCAATACCGGAAACAGCTGTATGGTCAATCAAAAATTTAATTAAGTAAAAATTTGAATTTCGTTGTAGTTCAGTACTACTTAAAAACCTCTTTTTTAAAAAAATAGAAAAGTCTGATGGAGTTGTACAGCCCTAAGTATTGTATATCCGTTATGTCGCGGTAATATGAAATGGGTTTCTAATATCCTTATCATTGTGTTAAAAACATCTGAATTAATTTTGTATATCCTTTTCATATATTGTCTATGGGACATTCTTTTACAAGCGGAGTAGGTTTGACCTCCTTTCTTCCATTTTGGTTCAAATTTTTTTAGAGTTACTCTCACTGAATAAAAATATCAATGGTACTAGGAAAAAAATTGAATAACATATAACAATTTTTTTCCTAGGACATATACGGACTTGTGAAGTATTTGCACAATAATCACTATTTTGAATAAATTTGATAATAGTTATACCTCAGACTCTGTACATGTTAGAATGTTACAATTTTTTGTATTGTAAAGATATAAAAAATTGAATCTTTCACAAATGAGTAAAATAATTAAAATTGTTTATATTTAGTAAATAATATGAACCGTAAATTAAAAAAAGTTGTTTTAAATGTATATCGAATCTTTTCATTTTTATTTTTATGTAAAGTAAAAAGTACCTATAAAACTGTTCATCGGTGAAGACCGAAGAGATCTATTAAGTTATCTAAATTCGACAGGATGGATATAGTCCTAACTCTTTTATACTAGGCGTACTTGCGAGGAATGTGAGAACAAAACGGTGGTTAATCGCTAATTGAGGTACATGGAACTTATCCACAATGGCCTGTCACTGCAGCCAACTAACAAAGTACCAATAAAATGAAAAAGTAGAGCGGTGACAAGAACAGCAGTAAGTAAGTAAGTAATCTCTTCTTTTATATCAAAATATTTCTTTGTCAATACTAGGATTCCATAAGAATACTCATATCACATTGTAGATTCAGTTTTTGAAATCCACGATTAATGAGTGTTCATTTTAGAATCTGTAACAAAAGCTATTATTTCTATCTTATCACTTTTGTAAGCCTTTTATCTTTTAAGGCTTTTAATTCACTTATGGTTTGTAGCTTCGAGTGTTTAAAAACGAAATATAATTTTATAAAAAATCTCTTCAAACACTTTTACAAAGACAATCCGTTGTTTGTTCTTTTTTACCTCATTTGTTTTGTGTCTTATAAATGGAGTTGACTTCAGCTGAGCATTCTTTAAGCAGAAACGCTTGACGTTTTTAATTGAGTGCATTTTGCAGTACTTAAGAGGCTGCCATATGTGTGAGTTTATTTAAGTATGCGTGTGAATGGGCCCTGCTCTACACACATGTGTACGCTGTGCAGTGCAATTGAAGTGTGCATTTGGGTTCGTATGTAGAAACACTCCTAAAAAGGCACTTCAAGCTGTTGTTGACAAAATTATCTTTTATTTTGCTTAAACTCACATAATTTACGTACGAAACGTAGGAAACGTACGTAAATACGAAACAGGAAGCCGGATCAAGCAGTGCAAGCGGTACTTTTCCATCTTTAATGAGTTTCACAAGTGCTTGGCACGATGAAGTGTGAAAAGTGACTCTCAAAGCAAGTAGGCTGCCGTTTTGCTTATTAGAACTGGAAGCCCCACGTTACGTCCGTCGTCAGCGCTTAGTCCCCTACTTTGCTGTAAAAGCAATATTAACTTTTAATCCAATGTATGGACAGAAACTTATTTTCAATTGAATTCTGCAGCCGAGTTGACAAACTGCAAAAGCTTCTTTGTACTTTTATAATTTTATGAAAGGCATGAAGTGATAAAATATTTACTTGCGGCATACATGCTTTTTGATGCTATCATTCCGATTAAAATTTCAATGGAAACATTTCAATTAAAGTGAATATGGGCTTGAAACTGAGTTGGCGTGCTGTGAAATATCTTTTGCCTTACAGCAAAGTGAAGGTGTTTTTTAAAGCTTGTGTCAGCATTTGTAGTATGCCAAGCAAGCAACAGAGTGCCAGACTGTATCATCACAGAAGACACCGTCCGGAACTAAGGGCGGAATTGGTTCCATATGTCTTTAATTGCACACAAATGGCTTAAGTAATGCTCAATGTCAATTTAATAAAAATGGTAAGCAATATTTCATTGCCTGACTGATGCAAGACTTGAGTTTTGTATATTATTTTTCATTTGAACTATATTTATTTATTTCTCATGTTGATATTAGATTCCAAAACTAATTTTGTACTTACTTACCTTGAGCATTTGAGAAAAATTGAAATTTGTACGCGTAATCATGTTTGGGAAATATAAAACTTTTACTACCGCTGTAAAAGGCACTTCAGTTCTTCTCAATACTCTTGTGGATGGCGTCACTTTGCGTAGACACACGTGCTTTCCACTGAATTCATTCGGTCCCATCCCGAAGGATTGGTACAAAAAATGAAAGTTAAGTAAACAAAAGTGCTACCCCCATCCCCCATCCCCCATTCCCCAACTTATCCATAATAAAAACGCAGCAGAATGCCGTACAGTAGCGATATCATTGTTGCGCCTGTGTCACTTTTATGACAATTTCACGCATGTAGGATTGGGTGGATTGAGGACATCGGCACAGACGTGTGCGTGTATGTGCAATTTATATGTAAAATGAGTTGAGGAACAACATTTAAACTGCTTCAAGAAGTGAAAGATGTTCGAGTTCAAAAAGCCAACGACAAAGGAAGCAAAGGGGTGCATAAACTTTTATGACTTGATTTTGTTTTCATATGAGTCGTTGGTAAGCCAAACAAAATGTACATTGTACAAGTACTTAACTTAAACAATATTTGTTCTTCATACAGTAAGTATGGAGCGAGACGAGAGTGGTATAGCCGGAGGTGGATGTGGGGATGGAGGGTATGAAACGTAATTCAGATAAAACATCTTTATGACGAACTTAGTACTCAAAATAAGTACAATTTTAAGTCCTAAAATGCACTAAGCGTGAAACATACCAAATCAGCTTGGCTTATTGAATTTTATTTGCTGTTTTTGGTTGGTAAGTGAAGCATTAAATTTCACCGCAGTTAGTGTTCATTCATTTTGTGTGATTAGAAAATTAAATGCCTAAAGCATGGGTTTCACTTTTCTCCATTTTAAATTTAAGGGTTATTTACATAATAATACAATGTTTGAAAATATATTTCATTTTTAAGCCATTGCTTAAATTAAAAATAATAGAATGACGTTTAAAATTCATGCACGACATCTTATTCACAATTTTAATATTCAAATATAAACATTATTAACCTTAAAATCTATAAACATAACATCCATAACATAATACATAATATAACATATTCGTAATTATAAGTTGTTTGTACGATAACCAATATCGACTATAGTAAGCATATAATAACGTACCTTGATTGTAGTTAGCTTTTATTTCACATAGGTACAAAATCATGGACAGTCTGCTTTCTTATGGGGTTTTAAACTGAAATTGCACTATTTTCAATAAATACCAAAATACTCGTATTTTCTATTCAAAAAGTGATATTAGAACATAAACAACTTTTTCTTGATGAGGACAAGTTGTGAATATTAATTATACATTACGGAAACATCTTTGAGACTTCAGCAAGGTCTGGTGAATTTTCGATAAGCTAAAGTTAATAAAGCAGAAATAGCTTGCGACAGGTAAAAGGCATCGACAGATACAGTGTTCGAGTTCAACCCATTAAAACCACTTCTTAAGAATCAATGAAGAAGATATTTCCTAATGTACATGAAACTTTACCCCAGTAATTAGGGTGTATAGTTGAGATAAATACGATCAGAATTTAAAATCTAAGTGTATCTAAGCCAGAAAGCTTGGTCATGGTGTAGGGCGACAGGAGGTAATTGGAATGATTGAGACTACTGCGTAACCGCGGGGGCTAGATTTGTTGTGATTTCTGCGGAGGGGCTAACAAGAAGTCAGTAGAAAGAGTGCTAGAGATTAAAACATCGAAGGTGAGTTATGTAACCGGGTGAGGCATTACCAGGCAAGTGTAAGAAGGTACTCATCGATGTGAGTAATTATAGCTTTCTTATAAGGGAATAGGTTGAGACACTGCTGATTGCTGAACGAGGGTAGGAAAGGGATAAGCTGCGTATAGCAGAGGAGTTTAACCTTAAATATAAGCTGGTTGTGAATTTGGAGCATTTTTTTAGTTGAATATGGTTGATAGTGATGTTTTGAATGGCATAAAATACATGTGGAATAAAGTTAGCAAAATACATGTGCGGTGGGGATAGCAAAATATCGACATATATAAGCTTGTCAAGAAGCTGAAAGTGTGGATTGTGAACTTTAGCTTGATGCGTGAAGCATTGAAGAGTGTTGAGTGATTTCGCTTTTGCCATATGAGAACAAAAAGATATAAAAGTAGTGGGCCTGTAACAGAACTATGGTCAACATCGACAGCGATGAAAAAATCGCGCTACAAGGAAGAATCGTCTTGGACTCGAAACTTTATACTAGAAAATCTCCTATCAAAATGTTAGAAATTCATGTAATGTTCTTCGCTTTATACTTATAGAAGAATATTGAAACTTCTGCGAAGTTCATATTTAATATCTTGTCTATAATTATATTACAATAAATAAATAATAAGTAGGCTTTGATTTGAGATAAATCTAGTATTTTGTTAACTACAAAATCTAAAAAATTTTTAAAATTAAATTATAAGAATTTTAGAAGAAATAAAATTAGAAACAACAAAAAAATAGCAAAATTTGAAGTTTTCAAAATTTCACTGGTTTTAAGATGTCCGACTATGACAATGAGCAACACTATGTCCCTAAAGGTATTTCGATTGGAGAAAATGAGGAGTTAAGTTTTAAGCAGCTGGATATTATGACGAAATGGCTGTTAGACGATACTGAAGAATTGGAGAAGGAATTCAAACTGAAAAATGAGTACACAATACAACAAGAAGTTCAGTTATTGAATAATGACAAAATGGTAATATCTTTAATAAGCCTTAATGCCTCTTACCTTAAAAAATTAACTGGTGTTGCGTACGTTTACTATTTCCATATCGCTTTTCAGTTAGTTGAGGTTAATAGTCAAGTTCAAAACTTAAGCAACAATATGGATGTTGTCCAGAAGGAATACGATGAATTAAATCAATCTTTAGATTATCTAGAACGAAACCTAACTAATGTTGAAGTGTTGGGGCAGGAAACGCGCAGTTACGTACAATCCAAGAGGTGGGAGCGTGGTCATTTAATAAACTTAATCACAACCACTGACCAGTTTATGTTATGTGTTCAACCTGAAATTGCGCAGCTGGAAGATACCATCGCACTTGTGAAGAAGGAAACTAATCCATTAACAACAGTAAGTATAATACAATAATGAGGTAGTGTCTAGCTGATCTGATTTAATAAAGGTCATGTATTGCTATACTGAATAACACATTAGTGACAAAATTTTTTTTATATACTTAATATAAATTTCTTTTGAACATTTTACATTAGTTATACCAAATTCTTGACTGCCACGTTCGGACACTTGAACAAACTGAGAAGAATTTAAATACCATCGTAAATAGAATTCCTGAATTAAGGACTTGCCTCAATGAAGTTATGCGTAAGTATGATTCTGCGTTACATTTATTTGGCACATTTTAAAACAGAATGCCGGTTAATGCAGACCGGCATACTTTGCATAAAAAGTGTGTTTAAATGACTGGATGGTAATTGCATCTAAGTTACTTACATTTCTATGTGGTTAGGCTGAATAGTTTAAATGAAATCATCCCAAGCAAAATCACAATTTTCAATTTTGCTTAAATATTTTTTTCTAAATATAAAATAATATACTTATTTTCTTTTCTTTCTTTAGTTCAAATTACTAGAAATCAAAATACTACCCAAAAGGACGAGTGCTGTGGCCAAAACAATCCAAAGCTCAGTTAAAAGAATATATTAAAACGTGTATTTAATCAAAAATATTTTGTTCCAGAGATTGTTACTAACTGCAAAATTGTCAAGTTGATTGAATTCCCGATATATTTTTGAAAAAATTAAATTTCGCTGATATAATTTTATTGACGAAAACTTATTTAAATAAGTGGAAAACTATTAATAAATAAAAAAATTCCTGAGATTTTGAACATTTAGTTTGTTTTAATAGATCATCATAGATTATTTATTATTTATAATAAAAAATGCAAAGAAGGTGTCATAACATAACTCATGTAACTTAAACATATATAAAGTTATAATTTCTAATCATATAGTACGAGCTGTACTACGTATATGTAATTTCAGGAGCCAACAAACTAAATTTGGGTTGGGTTATGATCTTAAGACACTGCCATATTGATGGTTATAGCGTTTGCTACTTGATCAACAGCTACAAAGCCTATTTAAAATTTATTTCGAAATATATGACTTCTATTTCTATCACAATATTTAATGTAACTATTGATAGCAGATAGTTTTTATGGTAATACAATTAAAAATTCATGCGTATGTTTCACGAAGTTTCAATAATGATGATAACCAAATCGAGCTGACTCAATTCCTAAAGTATGAAATCCTAAGTTCAAATTTATTTTTAAATGAAGATTTTTAATACATTGTCATTAAAACATATGTTTTGTTATTAACTAGTAGGCATCTTATTGCAATCGCAATATTAGATGAGGAAAATGGAATATGAGTAATATGAAAATGTAAAAAAGATATATAATAAGAAGAAATATATTTAGTGATAATATTTTCGTTTTTCAAGATTAATCAAATGAATGATAACTATATGAAAAATATTTCAAATAACTGCTATCCATTATTTGGTATATAATTTGTTACATAAAGTGAGAGACTATCTTCTTTATATTAAAGAGTGGACTACTATCTCGTTTATTCCATTTTAATATCTCAAACAAAAACACAGTTTTATAATCATAAACATGATAACATAAACATCCACTGACACCTAATAGTCCGTGAATGTTTTCAAAAGTTTGATATTTTTGACTATTTTAGAGCTCGGGAATCAAATTGAGACAATTTTCAAGCGACTTATAATGATCTTACATTCATCCACATAACTTGCAACTACGAAACGTCGGCTTAAAATCATTGGATTGTCTACTATGCGCTTTTGATTTGTCACCCAATTGTTTCTTCTGGTTCCCGCACATCAAAGGAAAGTTAAGTGGACAATGATTTTTATGTTCTGAAGGCTTCTCAAGAACACTGAAAAAATTGCTTTGACATATGACTCGAGCGCAATCAAAAGTGTACAGACCATTGGGAAGAAATAGTAAGACGGATTTTAATAATAAATCCCTTATCTCAAATCACATTTATCTATTAAACGTAATTTAATGATTACATTCACTAAATACCCTTATCACTTCTCAATATTTTTACTACAGTATTGAAAAATATGGTATTTTGTACAATAAAATTTACATTTCAAATTTTAAATAAAATCGAAAAAATTGATAGCCTTTAGTAACTAACTGAGCATACTCACAGACAGTAATTGGTCAGTAGTAAACGCATATATCTACTATTTTGTGCATATAACTTAATTTGATTGTTCTTTTAATTAGAATCAGAAACCATACACGACCTAAATAAAATTCTTCTGTTTTTCATATAAAAAAAAGACAATCTTCTTATTCTTCAAAATGCAATGATTGAGACTTTTTATAAATAAATCAATTTAAAAAAACTTAGATTTGAACAATTTATTAATAAAATAAGAAATGAAATGCAGAAATTATTATAACTCTCTCTAGAAGTTCTGATCCATGTTATTGTTATAGTTAGTAACATAAATATTTTTTCTTCTTATATTTAAATAAGAACCTTAATCGTGAATCGTGGAATATCAACTTCCCAAAAAAGAGAATACATTATGGGCTTTTTGCTCATATTTCATATTTCAATAAGTAATCTTTGAGCGTTCTCAGCGGTAGAGAAATAATATAAGATCTATAGAATGACAATTTATAAATATTATATCGTGAGACCAAGCCATCTGTAGTATAAAGATTTTCCATTAAATCCTTGATGAACATCGTCAAACAAGTGTTTTATTCTCTAGACTCTTTGACACCATGTGAGTTTTTTCCAATTTCAGAAACTGAAACTATGATATCATCCTTTTGAAAAAGTGGATGACACCAACGGGAATTCGTTGAAGGAACTGCAACCGACGGAAAAATGTTTTGTTTAATATGAAATCTTCCATATATATTGATTGAAAAGCATATTTGTTTTTTTTAGTTGTAAAAGTATATTTCCATCTTTTTTTTGATGGGTTATATACGAACTGAAATAAAAGTGCTTAGTCACAAAATGTTTTAACATTACTTTCAGCAATGATAGTCTTAAGGAACTTCGCTAGAACATATTTATTTTCCAATAGTTTTCACCTGTGATGTCAAGCATTCAAATTAAGTGAAACAAGCGTGCGTGATAAAATGCAAGTGTCGGAATTTCTCATCTGAGAATATTTAAGTGATGAATTTTCGTATCAAATAAGTTTTCTTGTACCAAACACACAAGACATGTTGTTAAAAACTTGCGAAATTTTCTTGACGACTTATTTTAACGAACTGGAAAGGGATGGAGCTGCAAACTCTGATGGTGTCATCAAGTTTAAGTAGAACTAAATGCAATTAAAAATTTCAAAAATTCTCACAAAACTTAGAAATTCTGATGTTTTCTAAAATCATCATAAAATACATGTTCTCTAAAATATTCATATAGATATGGCGTGTGTTAGGAATTACCTAAGATCACTAATTATTTACGAATAATTAAATATAAGAAACACTTCCAAAAAGACTACTGATGATGGGTCAGCTGATGACTGAATTAATTAAAAATAAACTTTTATTGTTGTAGTTCACTACCCAATTATTTAAGAATAATGACCGACATGATATATTTTCTTTTCTTCTACTTCTTCTACTTCTACTGGTTCTAAGTTGATTTTCAGAAGATTCAATAGATAAGTAAAATAGTTTCAAACCAAAATTTATAAATAAATTTATTTCTTTCACTTCAACTAAGTTTGATTAAGATTTAGGTCATGTATATGAAGATTTGGTATACATGATGGACTAGGTAATATGTGAGCTTATCTTAAACAAATTCAGAGACAAGTGGATTAATGAAAAATTTTAGTTTCATTTAAAAATGTTAGATGTGTAAAATATATGATTTAAATTGTCCCTGATGTCTTCATGTCTACATGGGTGTGGAACAACATATTTTGTTCCAATATAAGGAACGGAGGAAAAATTTTAATCGTGTCATATTTTAAAATAAAACTTAATACTCGTTTGTTATTTAATATCTGCGCTACTTTTGTACGAGAAAATTTTTATCATGAAATTTTAAACAACATAAAAGCTTGTCTTTTGTTTTATTTTGTTTTGTGGTTGGAGGTGTAACTATGTGCATCCTGTTGCGTAACTTTGAGCCAGACAAACTGGCGGATGGACAGGCCCTGTGTGCGTCATGTTATCGCATTAGCTGGCCACGGAGTGTAATTTCATACGGATTTCTGTGGATTATACATAACTGCCGACAATGTAACTGAAATGTGCAAATTGCATATTTTTGATAACTCGCAGGCATTGTGTGGTTTTAATTGCATTCCGAATAGTTTTACGTTATGTTTCTGAGATATAAAAAAGAGCATAAGTTGCACATGAATTCCATCCAACCACCCAACCACACAATCACATTGCACTTTAAAAAGAGTATTAATCTTTTGGATTGACCATGATTTTCATTCATTTTTAAATAATTAAAATATCCTGCTTACCAATTTGAACTCATTAAAAATATTCAAAGATTATCTCAACAATCAAGATAATAACATATGCGTTTTTCATAATCGCATGAGCTGTTCTTGATCCAAAAAGCCACGATATTCTCATTATATACACCTTTACTGAGATTATTGTGAAGTTTTCTTTTTTTAAATGAATTATATATACAAACTATCAATTATAAAAGACAATTTTAATCATTGTCATTTGCTTACAATAAATTAACAAAATTACAGAAAGAAGCAAGTCTTTAGGTTAGGATTTCAATACATAGCATTTTGATTAATTTATTAAAATAATACTTAGCATATTAATTATTTTGTGTAGAATACATTACGTCAAACCTTGTCTCCTTTAAGGTATACCCTAACAAGTGGTATATAAATATTTTAGCATTTGACTTAATTATCTATAAATTATTTGTGTATCGATTGAGGTGTAGTCCTCTCCTTACTTACGCTTTCCCTATTTGGTCAGCCATCACTTCCGCTCAAATGGAAAGAATCCGCCTGTTTGAGCGGAAACTTCTTCGCGATTGCACTAACTACAAGCGCAAGCGTAATGGCAAGCACTTCTTCATATCAACTCTCTACAACAATGCCAAGATCACTTGTGTTGACGAGTTTCTTCTGTCACTCGCCCGTAGGTATCTCACCCGGCTCCATGACCTTCCCCCCGACGTCTCTACTCCACTCACTCTTTCAGAAGACCTTGTTCTAGCTTTGCGATATAAGCTCCCCCAATACCTAACACACTACTTCGATGAAGTGAACCATAACCTCTCCACTATCCCCTTATATAACCGCGGCTTTCGTGACCCTAGTCACAAAGTTTACTGTTGATTCAACCCCCGCAAGTTAGCCGTAACCCCTTCCCCTTCTATATCGTCCTTTCTACCTAGTTCATGCCCTTGCTTTCTGATTTAGATGAGCCTAGTTCACTAGGTATTAAATCTATTTTGGGTTTAAGTCTCACACTGGGGCTTTCGATGCTTTCCACCTACTGCAAAAAAACAAAAAAACAAAAAAAAAGTGGTGTTTTTAACTCATTTAACAAATTCTTCTTTCAGCAATTTAAGCTATGAGAACTGATAAAAATCTTACGAGGTCTTGCCTGTTAAATAGGGTCTTTGATCACATTTGTCAAATTTTTTCAAAAAATTCTAACACAACAGTCGGTTTATTTGATGAAGTATTGTGATGGTACAAAGTTCAGCTTTCGATATATTTG